TGTTCTTTGAAAGCTGGTGTGTTTTTTTACGTCCATCTTTGTTGCAGCTTGGTCAATTGCTATCATCATGACCTGACCAAGTCAAGGTGGGTATCGTGGCTGCATAGCACACCGACCGTGCAGACCGGAATCGCAGACCGTTCGGGTCAACAAAATAAAGAGAGGTTTCAGGACCGGTGAAACATGTATGAACATGGACAATCCCATGGTTTTTAAGGGTGAATCGATGAAACGTAGGGTGAATCAAGCATTTCAATTCTACTTCACGCTTGAAGTCGCCACTGACGGGTTCCTGCCTTTGGATGAAGTTAAACGACCAGCCAACTTGGGTCCCCTGACAACGATCAGCCATGCAGAAAAGCGACGTTTGAGAGATTTTGAGAGTCCGTGCTTGGCAAGCTGCGTGTATGTTCAAGATAGTGTTCAAGATCTCTTCCTTGGTGAACAGGAAGGACCCAAACCGCTTTTGATGAATTTTTGTTTGCTCACCTGCTGCTGTCCGCTGCCATGTTCTTTGTTGCGTCACTTCTCCATACAACGGATGTCCCTTCTTCTCCGTCCTTCTCCGCTCCGGCGTCTGAACCCGCATCGCCCGGCCAGGCGCTCGGGAGATCGCTTTGGCTCGGACGAGTGGGAAGGGGTGCGCCAAGCTGGGCGGTCACGGGGAGTGTCACGCGTGGGGAGACGGAGGTTGGGGCGGTTTTTTGGGTGGGAAAGTCTGGCGGTTTTTGGTGTGAAGGCGCTGAGACACTGAGAATGGAGGCCATGGCTCCTCTGTAGTTGCTTTTCGGGGTTCCGTGTGAGTCTGCAGGGGAGTGATCTTTTGGGGGTGATGACATCATACGATTGGAGAACACAGTGACGAACATGGGATGCGGGTTGTTCGTCGATGTTGGTCGGATGTGCATGGTTTTCTAGTGTTTCTAGCTGTTGCGTTGCAGAGAGGAGTGCCGATTGTCATGCATGCTCCTCCCGAAGTCAGGGATTCAATAGTTCCACTGGCCCTTTGATCTCATGGAACATCGTTTGCATCATGGCATCTCATGACTTCTTCGCGGTTTTCCCATCTGAACTCTCAAACGCTGCCATGAAACCTGGCCGCGTCTTCCTGGCAGGCTCCAGTGAAGCCTCGCCCGTGGGGACGCTGAGTCACAAGACCGGTCGCCGATGCCCACGGCGAGGACGCGGTGGACGTCGGTGGAACCAAAAAGAGATGGCTGAAAGGTGTTTGGGTTGCGCAGGGTTTCTCGAAGTAGTGAAGGACTTGTGACTAGATGACTATAGATCCAAGGGCATGCCCTGAGAAGGCAAGGCCGATCCAATTTTGTTTGCCCTGCCCATTCACAGTGTGAGGAAATAGTGGAAGAAATGTGATCATTCAGCTGCACTTAACCCCTTCCCTTGCCTGTTGTTTTTTCTCCTCCTTGCGGGTAGATGGCCAATTCAGCTTCCATCATCCAGACAATCCTTCACCAACATGTGTCATAGAACCTATTCCCAAACATGTTTTTCAAGCGGCTCCAAAGCGGCTCCCCAAGCTTCCAATCAGCTCACGCTCCAATCATAACGCTCCAGTGCGACCTCCCGCAAAGCATGAGGGATTTCTCTGAGGGAACCATAGGGAACCGAGGTGCTATTGCAGAAAAAACCTTCCAGAGGATGTATTCTATGTACTCTGCATCCAGAGGATGCATACTTGCTCTGAATCATATGAGTATTCAGTGCATTTTGCAGATTTAAGATAATGTTGTCTCCAAAGCCTGGAAAAAGCTCCCCAGTGGTGCTAGCCTTTCAGTTAGCAAGTGCTCTGAGTGGTTCTCATCGGTGATTGACACCTCCTTCTCTCGGAGTCTTGTTTTTTCTTCCCTGTTTGGGCTTTAGACTCTATACTGTACTCTGCTGGTCTTTCGGCCGTTCTGTCCGAGGCAAGGGCTGCTGGTTACCGCCATGCGCAGTCAAGAATGGATGCGGGAGAGCCGAGCCAGACGCGTCTACGCTCCGCATCGCTCCGCTCCACCGAAGGGAGAAACCGAACCTCGCAGGCTTCGATGGAGGTATTGGAATACCTTGGAATCATCAGGCAAGTGGAAAAAACAGACACAAATCACATAATGAATGAAGGAACAATCAATGAAGTAACTTGTCAAATGTAAACAGAGCAGCGGAGTTGAAAACCACCTGTGTGTAAGATGAACGTGGTCATTCAAGAGATCCTCACAGGCGCCATCCACGCACGTTGGCAGACGCATTTAGGGAGTGTAGATGTCCGGTTCTTTGGCGAAATCGCTCGCAGGGGCTGCACGGCGAAATCGCTCGCTGCAAGTCGCAGGGTGTGTCGCAGGTCATGACAGGTGACCTACCCCGCCACGACCAACCGAGATTTGCCCAGGTCCCAAGTGGCCTGAGAGCACTTCCGCGGACTTCCGCGGTTCGATCAACACATATCCGCGGTGCCTGAGAAGGCTTTAGGGGTGCGGTGTGTGAGTCCCGTGGGCTGTAGACTTCCAAAGCTCCAGCAATGTTCCAAATGTGAACCTTTCAGTGGTGAACTTCCAGGGTGGCAAACCTGGCTAAGTTAAGCATCAGAGGCTAAGTTCTCAATGTTGTTTCCTTAGCAGCGCCAGGGTTGTACCATTTGGTGGCCTGTTTTGTTAAGTGAAGCTCACACGACAGGGCTTTTGCGATGCAACAGTGAGCACACCGAAAGGGGTTTCTGGTTAGAGACAAAGGTTCGAGAACACACATTTCGTGCAAAGAATTGGATGGGTAGCTCTAGATTCTAGATCAGAATTTGCCTCGAACTTTTCGGTTTGTAGGTTATCCGTCTATCAACTTTTACTTGTTCTTTCCAAGGTGTATCTCCAGCAGTGAGTTTCGTAATACCTTGGGTTTGTCCTATTACCAGTAACAGTCGGTAAGCAATTATTACTGAGAAAGGTCCTTGCGATATGTGATAGGATAGACCCAAGTAATAAGAATTATGCTAGTGTATTCCATCGGTGAGAATTGGATCTCCAAAGGTCAGAATATCTATGACAGAAAATAACTCTTTTTTGAGGATAGGCAGCAAGGTGTTTGAGGGTGTTTGGTAGGTGCAAGAGAGCATGTGAGGCTCCAATCCCTCACATTATGTACTGTGTTGGCCCCTAGTTTTAAGTTGCAGACCTGCGGATGTGGCTGGACCATTCTAGGGCCTCTTTTGTTTATCTAGTTCAATGGCATATATGCCTGTTGTTGGCCTATGCCTGCAGTCCCTCCATCCTGTAGAAGGGTTTTTGTTTGTCCAATGTTGCCTTTTCTTCTACACCTTTTGTTTTGTCTTCGCCCCTCTCTTAGGCTGGCTGGATAACGGAATGAAAAGGGTGCCTTTGAACTTACGAGATCCTTTGAGCACAAGAACCGGGGATGATGAATGCTTCAGAAGGCTGTAAGGAATCCATTTGGCCAGGGCCGCCAGGGCCCAGAAAAAGAGCTGCAACGGTTTCTTCGACAGAACGGCGGCGGGATTGGGACAGCAAACCTGGCCGTGTGGGGGAAGGAGATTTGACTGTGGGTCATGGCGTCAAGATGCCTTGGTTGACCTACCTTGAAGATCTTGAAGCTCAAGCTACATGGTGGACCAGGGCTCCAGGTTTTGACCCATCCCCATCTGGCAAATCCATGAGTGGCTGGGGAAGGGTGAGCTTGATTTCATCGGCAGAGTGAACTTGCCGAACGAACTGAGCTGAGTGAGGGTTCGACAGCTCACCCCAGGCGTGTCCATGATTTGGCTTGGTTGTTACTACTGTTCTCCGGTTTTTTTTGACACTTGGAGTTTGAACGAGAGACGGGATCCTTCTAGCCGTACTTGGGCACCGCGTGTAGCCAGTGACAAGACGCTGAGCTTGACGTTTCGCCCTCAAAGGGCAGTAGATCGTGGCAAACCAAGGAGGCCGAAGAAGTACACCTTCCGTAGAGGTCCGGTCGGACACAGTAAAGCCAGAAAGTCTCATTCAATCCTGCTTTGAGATGTTTCTAGATGTATTATGTGGTGTGTGACCTGTAGGGCTTGATTGAGTGAAGAGCAGAGAAGTTCAATGAAGCTCACTTTAGTCCAACTTGTCTATCCGGCCAATTGGAATACCGAGCACCTGTGTGGAACGTGTGGCCTCCTGGCGCCCAAGTCTGTCTCACAAGCGCGGCACCGGCTGGTGGCGGAACCAGCACCGTCACCCAAAGCAGGACCGGCCCTTCGGAAAAGTGGCAGAGACATGACACATTTGATTGCCACAGCCTGATCATGAATGATTGAATGAATACCTTTGTTAGGCCTGTTAGATGCTAACGGCTTCAGCTCGTGAGTGAACGATGATGGCGCTCCAGCTCACGTGAACGGCTCCGGCTCACGTGAACGGCTCGTTCCGCAGCGTTTGTCTCTCAACGGAGCGATCGGAATCCACGGTGGTCCAGGGCGGTCCACGAGTGAAGCGCTGATTCCGGAGGTGCCGGGGTCAGCCGGAGGAGTGAAGGGGCAGTCGGTGTGCAGGAGTCCAAGTGGTGACCCAGGTGGTCCAAGTCGAAGACACCATCGCCGAATTGGTTTGGTGTCTCGGGGGGGTTCTGCAAGAAGCACCCTTTCTCAACCACATGATTGTGGATAGTCAAGTATATTCTATATAATGCGTTACCCGGCTTTGTTTGCCATAGTTTTTGCCCACAGCCATGCATGGAATATATTTGTATGTGCCCACTCTATCCATTGAGTTTCATATATAGAACCAGGCTATTATGTGCCCACCCTCACAGGGCGAGCATGGTAGTGGGTGGTGGCTATCAACAGGTAAACAGAAAAGACTGAACATCCCAATGTAATCCACATTCAAACAGTGGTGTGTTTCACTTGGTTCAACAGCTTGGGCGTCCTGGAGAGGCGTTAGCTGCTAAGCTCCGCGCCTGCCTTGCTGCCTGCCTTGCTGTGAATTTGGGTGGGTGGGGCTCGGTATTTTTTGAGGTACAGTAATGAGTACTTAAGCATGCTTAGGCCATTCTTGCCAGGGCCTACTTTTACTCCTGGTGCTACATCCGGAGGATTTTGAACAGCCTACTTCCCCATAGAGCCCGGAGGGTGCATGCTTCAGAGCTTTGAACTTCATTTGATTTTGCCAGAATACAGTCGACACAATCTTCCGCAAAAGATCTGCGCAATCTTCCGGACAAACCACAGGCAACTCGAATGGTCCTTCGCCTTGAGCGAACCTTCGCTTTTCGGAGTGTTTTCAGACGACAGAAACCATGTTTGCAGCTGCCTCCCAAAAGCCCTCGCAAACAGCTTCCTAGATACTTAAGTGCAATTTGTTCAAGCCTTTTCAGAGAGCTTATGATGTGGCACAGACATCGTGACATCGCCAAGCATTTGAGCGGCACGGCCTCGTTGCAGTGTGGCTTAGAAAAGTTGGGCAGATTTTGTGGAGACTTTGAGCGCAGCCATGGGTACCTGGGCGGCACCGAAGAGGAGGGGATGTAAGACTTGTTCTTTGTTTAGGTGCCCGGGTGCGCCCAGGAAGGTGCTAACTACACCTCCAAGAACACTGTGGGCGGGAGCCTGGATAGCCTTGGCACTTTCAAGATCTTCCAAGCTCTTCATGGGAATAGCATGGAATAGCTGGAATAGCTAGTTTACATTGTTTTATGCAATTCTGCCGCATAATATGCGTATGCAGATATCTGGACTCCATGTTGCACATAGTTGACAGACCTTTGGATATCGGTGATCGAGTTTCGATGGAGCAGCGCTTTTGCCCCGCTGGGCGCCCAACTCAGCCTGCAAGACAGGTCTCGGTGGCATCACGTGGATATCCACGGGCCCCTGCTTCCAAAGACTGTGGTTTGCCAAAGACTGAAATGGTTTAAATGGGGCTCCAGTCGTACCTGCTCAGAAGGTATTTGGACCCTCCAAACCCACCCCAAACACCTTCTCACACTGCAGCGTGACTGGCGGACTCGAGGCAGCCATATACGTACGACTGAAAGACAGAAAAGTCTATTTTCAATACCAGCACGTTCAAAGGGGTCATTATTGGAAGCCCCTACGCTACTTAGGGATCTCCAATGGACACAGGTTTATATTGTAAAGAATAAATGTCCGGGAATCAACTGCGTTGTTTTTTGTTCTCAGTCTCACCCAAAATTTTGGGGTTCAGGAGACCCTCCCGGTGATACGACTTGTCAACAGACGTGGTGATACGCCTGGGCGTTTGATCTCGTGACTGGGGCATTTGTAGTGCAGAAAGAGTCTTTAATCTTTCGATGATACAACCTTAGGATATCGCTACAATGTAGACTCTTGATTAAACATCCCTGCCATTTGGATTGTCAAACCTCTTCATTGCAGCCTGCATTGGAGTCTTTTGGAGGTCCTGAATGAGAATATACAGAGGACGTTTGCCAGGGAAATTATGCTCCATTAAATATTGGAGTCACTGGATGTACGGCATTTCGTCCCGGAAATAACCGCTACATGAACCCTTTGGGCATCTTACTAAGGGGCTCTTCACGGTTTTGCTCCGATTGCACGTTGAACCATGCCCGGGCCAAGGTTTGCTACGCTCAGAGCAGATGAAATATGGCCTGCCACTCGTTGTGAACTGCATGGGTTTTGAAATCCTATGGCTCGTGACTCATAGGATGGGTCCTTGGACGGGGCTGAGGAAGTCATCCATTGGTCGAGCTGAGGTTTGAACCCGGCACTCAATAGAATTTCAGTTGGGGCGGGTCTCTAGCATACACGATGGGCTCATCAGCTCATCTATGAAGCTTCCTGGAAGGATGGAATGAAGCTGAAAACTGAAGCCGATTTGGTACCCGGCCAGGTCGTCCCTACACCGGGTCCCTTTTCGTTGGGTTTTTTAGAGCGAGAACTGTGCACTGCTTAGATTCAGATTGATTTAAAGCGATTTAGAGAGTCATCCAAACTTGTGAGCCCGAGGATGTACAGAATGTACTACAGAATGTAGACTCTTGATTGATAAAAACAAAACGACGAGTTGGATTGTAAAACTCTCATCAGGCCTGAGGGGGTTATGAAGTCAAGAGTCCACATATCTACATTCATTAAAGACAAGCTATCTTAAGGAACACATGTGGACATAATGTAGAATTATGTTCATATGATATCATATGATATCATTATCTACATTCAAGCTTGGTCCATATTATGGAACTTCTGAAGTGCAACAAATTCAGGACCAAGCTTCCCATTTGGGATTTGCCACCCACAGCAGGGCTCATTCTTGTCGCCCCTGCTGGGGCCCGCAGATGTGCCAGGTCTTTCTTTGCAAGGCCGCGTTGGGAATTGGGGAGCAGCCAGGAATCTCGTTCCCACGTCACCTGTGGCCGGAGGGAATGAACGAAAAAGACATGGGAACTCCACGTCCCAGGCCGACCCCTGACATCCCTCGTCTCTCCTGACATCCGTTGTCTCTCGTCTCTCCTAGGCTGGTACTACCAGTGAATGAGGCCCACCGGATTGTCGCACGGCTCGGCAAGGATGCCACGCTACAGCGCCTGGGCAGCGTGCTCGGTGATGATACAACCAGTGACCAGTTGCACCCAGTGCACCACATGAACCACTTGGTTTTGCTTATGTATATATAATATATATATATATATACGTATTGATTTACTTATTTTTCCCCCTGTGGGGTGGATCCCCTTTTTGGAAATTTTTCCCCCGCTCCTTAAGCAAATTGGAGCAAAAGGTTCCATGATTTGTTCACAACAAGCAGGTTTGGCAGATGAAACCCTTTCGTTGATAGAGCAAGTGCGTGTCGCTGGGGGTTTTGGAAGTCAAGCTTTTGAGTTGACTTACAGAAGGGGCAACTTTTGCTACATGCACTTGCTTTACAGCGGACTGCGTGTGAATGGAAGAGGAATAGAAAGAAGAGAATAGACCTCCAACACATGCTGAATGCTCGTGATGGGTTCAGGTGGCTATGCGTCCACAATCTTTGGAAAGCCCTCAGTGCCGAAGACTGTGTAGCGTTTGCCATTCATTGGCCTGCCACACCTCCTCTTCAGACAGGGAAACTGTGTAAGAAAGATGCTGGCGACAACCTGGGCCACCTTGGTCCAATACTGTAGCCTCTAGAAGGACTTTGTTCAATCACTGATGAGTCTCTCTTGAATCTTAAGGGTAACAAGCCGTATTATTGGACCTCCCGCTGCGTCGGCAAAAGCTCAGTGATCAACTCTTCAATGTTCCATGACAGAGGCTTGGGGGAGCTACAGGAGAATCACGAAGAAAACACCATTGCCATCCCGCCCTTCGAAGCTTTTGAGGTTTGAAGACGACAACGCCCGGGACATGCGCCGGCCCTACCGGAAGCACATCCAGCGAATCGAAGCATGCTTGCATATAATAGAGATTAATAGAGTGACATCAACGAGGATCAGTTGCACGGCAATGGAGATCAATTCATGTGACCCATTTCAAGCGACATGTGTATGCAACATATTGATGGTGGGTGGGCTCATGTGTATGCAGGGTATGTGTATCTCACCATGTGTATGCCACTGCGTATGAATATTCATTGCTCATCCACCCTTAGGCCCCAGTTGACTGGCCACCATCCCATGTGAGACTCTTGGTTGGGAGACCAGCGATAGCTGTGCTGACTGTCAACCGCGCCCTTCAATCGAGCTATAGTGATTTAAGGGGGTTCAATGGTACAGACCCCAAGATGTCCTAGACTCTAGACAGATGGGGGCCCATATCAACCACCAAACTTGGAGATTGTGCCATCCACTGAACCTCCACCCCACCGAAACAGCTGCATCTACCCGCAGCCTCACGTGTTAGGACGAGATGGAGCGGATCTTGCGCTTCCTGGTGGGCGAAATCTCAGGCATTGAAGGCTGCGAGATCCTGAAGAACAAGGCAGCACGGCGGGATCAAGCTGCCACCGAGCTGAGAGCAAGCCAAGCTCGCAACTAGCTGAGAACTGTATATAGTGCAAACAGCAACACACGATGAAGACGCGTGAACTAGCCAATTACAATTTAGGAAGATTGACAATTAGGGAACCGGCACTTTCACCTTTGAAAGACGAGCTTCCTTCAGAAAGCTATCGGTGTTCAGCTTCCACGTGAATCTTCCGTTTTGATCACCAGCCACTCAACCATAACGCTGCCGATTAGGTCGAGCGGCATTGGTGGGGTTTGGCGCGCTGCTCGCAGAGTCGTCCATTCTCAGGTGGATGAGTTCATGCGCTTCGAGGATGCCTATACACTGGAAGGGGTCGAGACCGAACTCCAGTCCTTGTACAAGCACTTCATGAAGTTCAAGGACTCACTGAGACTATGACCGACCCATGTTTCCCACACATGGAGCTGTGACATGTGATGACCCAATTTTCCTACACATACCAAGAGCCTGGGCAACCTCTAGCGCAGGACCCGGTTCGCAGTCGGACTCCATTTCTGACAACTGAAAGGTAGACCTCCCTCCTGTGTGGATCGCGTCGATTCGCTTCCCAAACCGCGGACGGGACGGGAGCGAACGGGACCCGAGCGAAGCCTCCGGACCGTTCCGACACGGAGCCGGCCGTTCGGCGTCGCACTGCAGAGGGTCGGAGGGTCCGATGGTTTGAATGTTGAAGGTTGAATGAAGTGGTTGACTTCTGAACTTCTATGATCCAACACGGCTGAAACGGACGCCTGAACACATGAAAGGCTGGAAACTGTGCTGGGCTTTGAGATCAGCTTGAGGCCTCAATCTTCCCCAGATTTCATGGACTCAACACACATTCCTTTGGACATTAAGAGTTTGGCCACTGGCTCACTGGAAGACCATTCTCCTTTACAAGCAGGGTTTTGCTCAGCCTCCAGTATGTTTGAGGGAGGGCACGTGAAATTGGGTGGGTGATGGTGTGTTGATTGGAATTTGAGTTGCACCTCATGGGTTCCCTCGTTGTTTGGCGGTACCCGATGTACCTAATTGGAGGGCTCCCTAATCCTCCATCATCAGCTTTCCAGGTTTCAAGGAGGTTGGAGTGGGGACCGATAAGCTCTCACAAAAAGACCATGTGAAAAAGGCAGCCCGTCGCTTCTGGAACGGGGCTCCAGCCACATCCTGAGAAGGTTGTGGTCGATTTGAGGGGTACAGCTACCTTACTCAGGATGCGGTTGGAGCCATAAGGAATTGTTGCATGAGAGTCCCCACAGATATGCGCATCGGTTTTGAGGAGAACAATGTGAGCCTGACCAATGAGCGTAATCAGGCCCGCACTGGGCCGTTGTGATGGTTGAGCTTGAGGACCTTGGAAAGAGCTTGGACCCAGCCAACTGATGAGGTTTAGATAGTGAGGCTTGATGGAGCGTTAGCCCTGGATTCCCTCGTAGCCTTGCTATAGGAGGCAAGAAGACTCGTCCATGTGACCATGTGCTGTGCACGTTAGTCTTTGACTCGGTCTTTGCCTGCAGAGACCGTCCAAAGGGTGCTTGCATTGGCCGGCCACAGAACTGATGCTTGCACATACCCCAGACATGTGTAATGGGACTGCCATAGGACTGCCGCCCCAGAAAGACTCCCCTGGCACCACCCCAACTGATCGGCATATATGGCCCCATGGAGTGTCTGGGTACAGCTACATGGAGTGTTTGGGATTACCCTGGTGTAGCCGCTATGCCTTTGCAGCTGTTCAGGCCGTTGAGGAGGCCGAGGTCGTGGCTGTGGCCAAGGTGGCGGCTGCACAGCCGGTGTGTGTGAAAGGAGGAAGTGCCTCCCTTTTCATTTGGTGGCTTTCAAGGGAGAAAACGCGAAGAAATCAATATAGTATACCATGATGTACCAAGTTCATTTGGCTTCATCGCTGTCACACCGGAAAATAGACTGTTTCTTTCAGACTGCCGGGGTCAAGGAGCTTGAGTCTTCGGATGTTTCATGCTGTTTGCCGTTTATCCATCCAGAATGTCTAATTACCAGCAGTGACAAAGGGGTGCTTAATGGAGGATTGGTGTGACTTTGGAGCGGATGCTCTCCATCCCCCGTTTGAACCCCGGCGCCACGGGGTGCCCGGCTGGTGAAGAAGGTCGGTCGAACAGGGCCGGGTGAACAAGGACCTTCAGTTGCTGTCAGGTATGGTCATGAATAAGCTATAATAAGCTTCCTGTCCTGACTGTTGGGTGGTTTCAAGCATGACCTCTCGAGAGATCGGTCACGCCCTAGCTTCGCCTCCGCGCGTAGGGTATGTTGGCGGGCTCCATGGGCGGTCCCCACCTGGATGTGGACGACGAGTCCTTCGAAGCGAGTGCCAAGAAACCACTGGTGGTGCCTTGGACGGGGAGGGAGAAGTGTTGAAGAGGTGGGGGAAGTACACTATCCCTATAGGGCTCCTGGCCCACCTGAGAGGTTCGGGGGGTTGAATACCACCGAACCTGAGGATATGGGACAGGAGCCTTAGGGTATAGTCACTAGTTCGGATGTGGAAGAAGGTCTTGATGTGCTCAACAACCTGAGGAGGGAGAGAAGCTAAAGATTGATTTTGAGAGAGTTTGAGGACATTGTTTTGGGGAAAGGTGCTTTACCTTTGTGGCGGCCTTTGTCAGACCTTATATAAAAGTTATATTGTTATTATATTTGGTAAGCGCCAGATCAACGACTTCATCCAGGTTTGTGAATCCCACAGTGGAATGAGATATCCAACTCCAGATGTGGATTGATTGTTGCATGAAGGTTGTGATTGTTTTGGCCCACATGCACAATAGCATGGAACACCTATACATGCACCATATCTTATTTCTATCTATAGAGCGCCTGAAAACAACCCACCCGGACTGGTCGGAACGTGTTGCCGGTTTAGTCCCATGGACTGTTTGGATACAGTAGTTTCAGGAGTAGATGGCACTGGCACCCCAAGAGGTCTGTTAGATGGGGGTCCATACAAACCACCAAACCTGGGGATGATGCCATCTTCGAGCTGTCTCCGCAACAAATACTACTGAGGAAGCAGAGGGTGGTGGTGGCAGGCCCGGGAGGGAGAGGTGCAGTCATCGAAAGCACAACCATTGCCTGTACCCCAGACAAAAGTTGCCAACCTGTACAAGCTGGGAGAGATTAGTTTAATGCTAGGCCTTCTATCAAGGCATCGTTGAAATAGGTGAAGTTTCTCCAAACATGTCTCCAAACATTTTGGCGAACTGCCATCACTGATGCCACTCACCAGTTATATCTCCGATGGCCGGTGCCATAATTTTTGTTCCCTGAGCAAGTTTGCCAGAGTTCACCTTGATTTGTCCTTTCCAACGGACCGCCATTGGAATTCCAAGCTTTTGCCACTCGTTGAAACCGAGGAAAGGGGTGTTGGGTGGGGGCGAGTACTTGGGGATGGGTCAAGACAGCAACTGTTGACCTACAGGGCTGTGGGCCTGGGACAGGCATATCTCCGTCTTGCGGAAGGCTTAAGCATCACCCAGAAGTGGGTCCTCAGTACTGTAGCTGTAGGCTTTGCCAAGCATAGAGGATGTTCTTTTCAAGCACCTACTGCTACTAGTCGCATCTTCAAGACTTCCTGGGCAAACAGGCATGCTTGGAAGGTGCATACCTCTCGGGGCTTTCACCACTTACCGTCAAACCATGGGTTTATGTATATATGTCGGGCAAATGGCTCTTCCCTGTGTTTTCTGGGACCCTCAAAACCGTCGGATCAAACAGGAAGAACGGGGGCACCCGCCGACCTGGACCATCCATTTGGGGTGTCCAAGGAGTGTAGGAGAGGGCTGGTGGGCGTCCAGCTGCCGGACACCCAGACAGGATGGTGCCGGTATCAATGTTTTGTGTGTTCCCTACACCTCCAGTCGTACATCCTCAGAAGGTAGTTGGAACCTCCGGGCACCCACCCCAGTCCCACTTTCTCATTGAAGGTACTTGGAGCCCTAGGGCTTTGCTTCGAGCTGTCTCCTATAGGGTTTGGGGGGTCTAATTACCTTCTAAGTATATATAGTTGGAGCCCTATAGGGATTGTTTGTTTTTCAGACTCTCCTTTTTTCGGTTTCTGCATACTCTTGCCGTATCTCCGCAGGCTTGGCTACCTCGCTGGTGTGGTGCCGAAGGTGGACGAGCAGCGCTTCACGCGAGCCCTGTGGCGCGCGGCACGCGGCAACACCTTCGCGCAGCTCGGCGGCGGGCCTTAGACGGAACAAGAACACTGGTTCATGGACCCTATAGGGCTCCAAGCACCTCAGAAGGTGGTTGGGGTGGGTGCCAGAAGGGTCCAGGTCAAAACTGTTGGCTCGGTCCTATATATTTGGGCCTTGAGCCTCCAGTTGGATGGGACAGCCTAATTCGGATGCGTTATATAGATATCGTTCCTTCTCAGAACATGGATGTGATGCGTACTGATCAGATGAGTCCTGGTTTCGTTCTTCCTTTCTGCTCCGTACCACGTCCCTCGCCGGCGTCTCGCCGGCGTCTCATGCCCCTTAAGGCAGTTCACCCCCATCAGCGAGACGGTCAAGGATCCCAAGACAGGCACGGTCGATCTGCAGCACGGATCGCGGGGGCCGATCTGCTGGTGGCCAACTTGGCCAGGTTGGGAGCCGGAGCTCCAACCATCCCCAGCTTCACGGTCTCCAAGAGATCTTTGGAAGTGGGGTGTCCATTCACCAGCCCGGACTGTTGCACAGGGGGGGGTCACTGCATGGTTCTACAAGGTTTGACTCGTGAGCATCCAGGTATGGAATCGTTACATGCGCTAGGGTCACACATGATGAGGTAGATGTATTAGGAACTCTTCCGGTCTCATGGATGGTTTGGGTACCATCATTTCGTCATCATGATTGTCCCCGCAGTTGACCGTCCACACCGCCGTAGTTGGGGCCCTCGATGACCTTACACCATCCAAAAGGCGTCCAGACCCTGGGCTTTGCACCATCGAAGACCCTGGTTTTGGCGGATCATCATTCTTTGGTTTTTCAGGGTTAACTTTGGGAGCCTATAGCTTTCAGAATTTGAACCAAGCACCCAAAAACATATTGCTGCTCAACAACGTGGGAAGAAGAGGATTGTGAATAAAACCTCTGAGTATACCTTATGGGCAAAAATTTCCGTAGTTAATGTATATAGTGGTTGTGTAGTTGTATTGTAGATTCTTTCATCGACTAGTCTGACTAGTCTGTTCCACATGACCTCCCAGGCGTCCCTACGGCCTCCCACCGCTGACGCGCTCGCAGTCCGTGTGTGTCCGGACAGGTCAAGAGGTGCAGAAGAGTGTCTTTGTCGTGTACTTTCAGGTGAGGTGACGCCCGTCCGGCGGTCATTGTTTTGGCGTTTGGATTCGCCGAACGACTGATCTAACTCGATCTCATTGAGATTGGAGCAAGAATCGGTAGACAATTTGATATCAGGAAGTCCGAAGTCGTGTTATGTTCGTGTGGCTGCACAAGGTTTGGTCCCAACATGCTCTTAAAGAATTACCTTTTTTGTTGCAAGTTTTTCCCACAAAACCGCAGACACTCCATCTCCGGAACATTTACCTACATTGTGCACTTCTGAAACTACTCCAATGTGGGCAAATATGTCACAAGGAGTGCGAACAGATCACAGCGAACTGTTCACATGTCTATTTTTGAGGCACCTCTATTTTTGTTTACCCACTGAGCCCAGCATCTTCCTTCCACAACCTGGTTGTGGTTTGAGGTCACTTAGGGATACTATGGGATACTCAGGGGCTCCAAAGTTCAGTCACTTGGAAGAAGCTGGAACACGGTGAGAGAATTAGATGGTCAGCTTGCAGGCTCCCCAAACATCTACTCAATATATAACCTCTTCTAGATTCTAGACTCGGTTCTACCGTAGGTAACCAATGACCCTCCACTTGTAAGCAGCACAGGATGACTTTGTTTGTAGGGATGACTTGGTCCGGTTCCCCTTCTGCGCTCGCACAACTGAGATGTTCGCTCCGACCACCACCGTTCCGACGGGGTTGACCCACCAATGGCGCCGGCGCCGGCGCAGGGCGCGGGTGGACCAATGCAGCAGAAGGTCATGAAGGTTTGTTCAGCCTTTGGATGCTCAGCAGAAGATGGAAACACACATTGGAAACAGGGGGTGTTGGCGCTTCGGGGGTGGTGCCACCGTACTGCGACACCGAACCGTGGAGTCATGAGTGCTGCCAAGAAGTTCACATGGTCAAGACGAACCTGGGCATGCCTTCGACGTAGACGTAGCTATAATCCCTAGGGATCCAAGTACCTTCTCAGAAGGTGATTGGAGACACTCTTATGTAGGTTTTGAGGGTCCAAGTACCTTCTGAGAAGGTACTTGGATCCCTAGGGAATGAGTATCTCAGGTGTTCGTGTGTGACGAACCTTGGTCGCTTTGTGTGACGTAGCTATAATGAGTCCATTTCTTGTGTCCTTCTCTTTGCGTGGAAAAAGCAGCGGAGCGAACTGATCATCACATGCTTTACATGATTGATTTATATAAAGCCAAAGGTGGACGCTGTGAGAACCCTACAGTGGTTTCAGAGTAGATGGCACAAACCTGAATATGCCATACAAACCACCAAACTTGGCCTTTTGGGCGTTGTCCCATCTATTCTGAAACCACAATAAATTATTTGACCAATGGGTGGAACTGGTGTCCAGTATTGCGATGCTTGGGTGATGTGTGGGTGCTTAGGATGGGGTGATGCATTCACCAGGATGGGGATGGCCTACCAAAGATGAAGTGAACAAGGCTAATGCTGTTGGAGCTCTTTGTTTCCAGCTTGTGAATGAATGAGTTTCTATGTTTGGATTGACCAGATGAATCTTGCACTCTGGTGATTCATGCAGGTGGATTGGTTTGGTGTCTTACAGTAATAGCTTAGGCATTACATATTTGATTGGCGGGTGGGATTGCAGGGAATCTCGACCCTCACCTAACCACCCCAGGAGGACCCAATCGAACACGAAGACTCTTGGCCCATAAGACCCCAGGAGGACCCGACGGCGTTGGTGAGGTGTGAACATGTACAACTGGCCAGTGAGTTCGGAGCAAGCTGCCTCGCGACACGCGCAGCTCAAAAAGGTTGTTGGGGAGCCCCAGATGTTAGTCAAACGCTAGTGAAGGCTCAGGAGACTCAGACTTGTCTTTCTAGGTGCTTTGGCGAGACAGGCTAGGGCGTCCGGGGGTTGCTTTGGCATTGCTTTAACTGCATGGTTTTGCTGGAGGTTATGTTTATTTTCCCGCATGGGTGAATCCTCTTTGGTGAATCTTTTGGCCGGCTGGACAGCAATCGAAGATTGGCATTGCTTTCTTGTGTTTTCTTTTTATATAAATTTGGAAGACAACTGCACTTTGACCTTCGGTTACCATTGAAGGCTTGAAGACTACCTGTTGAATCTTGTTTTTCAGACTTGACGATCACCTGTTGGCTGTTTTCTTTGGCGGCTATGACTATGACTGGGAAACCACATTGAGTCCAAACTGTTTCCCTAAATCAGGCCTTTCTGTCGACTGGGAAGGCACACCAGTGGTGAACCATATCCTCAGAAGGTGGTTGGACCCCCGCACGTGGCCTCTTCTCAGGGTGGTTGGAGCCAGAGGGGACTGTGTTCGATCCGACTTATGGAAAACAGCAGGAGACAGCTTGAGACCGCGGCTCAACCCTGACCGGGCCGCCCTTCAGGTGGCTGAGAAGGACGCGGCGCTCAAGGGCTTTGCCGAGCCTCGGAAGTGCATGGAGATGCTGAAAGGGGAATCGTGGCCCGGCGGGGGCTGAAGGGTCGGACGCAGGTTTCCCATTCACAGTAGGTGGAGTTGAAACCGAGTCGCTGAGAGCTATCTCATCAGAAGCTACAAATTAGTGGTTCCTGGCCTTACTAGGAGCGATCGGACGCTACGAACGGGGCACCTGGCATCGCTACTAGTAGCAGAGTAGCAAGAAGCTACTAGAAACAAAGGGCGTTGGTACTAGTTGTCCACTGGACATCAATGACGTCAGAAGCGCTGGAAAGCAGCACTGGACATCAAAGCTTCTCTTTGGGGACTCCAAGTCCCTCGCCCAGTGAGGGTCAGCCTGAAGAGGCCTTGATGGAGCCTGATCTGTGTAGATACGGTAGGTAGTTTTGGTTGAACAAACAGAGTGGCGGTGGCAAGATGTAGCGCTTTGCCAGCAGTAGCTCGAGAACACGTCTCTCACCCAACAACCTTGTTTGTCTATGTTTGCGCTTTGATTGACAGTTGTCAGGAATGACCTTTTTGCCTCTTGGGCTTACCATCCAAATATTCAGGATATCATGCTGCCGATGCTGGTCGAAAATCAACCAATCTCTTGGAGACCCCTGAAGTGAAACCGCTTCATCTTTGAAACTTCACAAACCTTGTCTTTGTCTCCAGTCTCAGCCAGTCTCCACCTCTTCTCTCAGCTGGTCGGCCTTGGAAGTTGGGGACCAGACTTCTTAAGAACCCAGTAGCCATTGACGCATGCCAGGTGCCACCACTCAGTGGTTTCAGAGGTTCAATCGCACTGGCACCCGAAGATGTCCTAGACAGATGGGGGCCCATATAAACCACCCCCAAACTTGGGGTAACTTGTGCCATCGAACCTCTGAAACCACTCCAGTTGACCCCCAAAAAATCCACAGCTCAAGCAGCTGCTCCTCCCACGCGACACGCATCGTTTGTTCTTTTTTTTTAAGAAGCTTCTGGTGAAGGGGTACAGTGGCCCATGGTGAACCAATTAACATAATGTAGAAAAACAGTTTGCAAATGTTTGCAACATTTCAATCGACATTTTTGTCCAGCAATATCCAGCAATTGTTGAATATGTCAATCAATGTCCAAAACAGTTGACACAATTGCTACAACAATTTTGACCGATGATTAAGCAATTCAACACTTGCCAAAACCATTTCAAACCATTTCTCTATATCCCCAAAGGTCCCGGACTACCAAGCTTCTTGAACACCCATCCACGCCGCAATACGCGTTAGCTCGTCTCCTCCCAGGACTTTATGCGCTCAGAGGCCCAGGACCTCTTGACGCCGCCCAGTGTCTCGGTAGGATGATGTAGGGGATGTAGGGATGTCTCAGTCCTCTCAGATTGGTTGCTTGTCTTTGTTCTTTTTGTCACGCCCCCCGCCTTTGACTGTTCTTTTGTTTGTGTGTTCCTTTGGTTTGAGGAAAAGAAAGCGCGTTGCTTTAGACAAACGGTGGGTTTTACCAGCTCCTCAGCTGATGGATGAGCTCTGACTGAGTCTACTCTTTTCTGTGAAGAACCAGCACGGAAATCGGGCATTCTACCTCAGTGCTCTTGGCCACGCCCAGACCATCTGCATGGGCTAGCTTGCGATGGCGAGCCCGACTGAGGTCATAGCCCGGCCGGTAATTCCAAGATCGAGGAGTGGCGGCTCTTTTGCATCAAGGAGAAGTGGCTCTTTTGGTCCAACGCTTTTTGGACAGCGCTGTCCTATATAAAGTGTAGGTGTTCGTCAGACCCATCCTAGCTCTCATAAAGGGTTGCCAGCATCAAAGAATTTGGCTTATAACGTATAGCTTAAAATCAAGAAGAGTATTGTTCCACCGTGGCAACAATGCCGGGCCATTGCTTTATCTCAAGTCCTAATTGCATGCCGGAAATCTAGCAGAAGCCAGCTTTGTGACACTGCTCTATGGTTGCCGCTGCGTTTGGGAACACAACAGTTCGATATGGCATGTGTGAACATCGTGCATTTCTTGGAAGGAGAAGGCCATCTACAACATCCTCAACCTGTGTTCCGGAGAGATCGCTTTGAGGACCGGTTGGCAGCTATGAGGACTCGTAGGATGCACTCCGGGACCGCGAGACCCATGAGATCTCTAGACATTCGCCTCTAGAACTAGAGCTCTTGAATATGCCTGGATCTCAAGCTCAAGACCACTAGAGCTCTGATGAACAGACCTTGACCTCTAGACAGCACGGTCTCCGACATGAAAGTCTGGACAGATGTGGTTCTCTCGCACGATTCTCATGCAACACTGTTGGGGTCTCTTGCCGGGATAATAGACCCTTGGAGGTAAAGAGTTAAGGCCTTGTCGGCCTGTCCATCAACCACCCCTTGTGGCTTATGGTATTGAGTCACCTTTTTTTGGGGCGGCCATTTCCTCTGTCCTTCACCCGGATCTTTTTTGCACGTTCACCGGCTTCCACCGCGGCCACCGGCCGCACCGATGCACGGGACCAGGGTGAACGTGTGGTACCCCGCGACGGAAGAGTCCAAGATCATCGCGCTGCTTCAGAAGCTGAACGAACCTCGGGCCGTCTCGGGGTGGCGGGGTGCTCCGCCCGATCGACAAACCGGTGCGGCACCGGTCCAGACCGGCGGTGGGTTTTTCTCCTTCATATCGGAGGGAGGGTGTTGATAGGTGAAGGATAGGTGAAGGTCACAGTAAAGATGGTGCGAACGGCACCTTAAACTATTAATTACACCAACATTCACGCAAGCGGACGGATGGAATGTCATTTCCAAAACAGGGGTGAATTCCACTTTCATGCTAGCGGCTCAGAGTGTACAACAGAGTTGGATGGTAGTGAGCCCTATGGGGCTCATGGAGATGAAGAGATCGACTTGGAAGCCTCCTGGCAGATCATGGGCACCAGAGTGACCCCAGGAACTGCAGAAAGATCACCCTTCATGGTAGGGGGTTCACACAGCTGGGAGTCGTCAGCAGAAGATAGGAAGGACGTAGGGCTTGTGGTCAGGCCCGGTAGACAGACTTCGTTGGGGCAGGAGCTGCTGCACCAGGGTTCAGACACTGCCCATGGTCATCATTATTACCACGTTTACCACGTTATTAGATGTTATTAGCGCATCACACTCATACAACAACAGATTTTGACACCATTCTTCATCCTTGCTACTGATGTGCCACCCGTGACTGGGCGAACAAACAAGGGCTTTTCCACCATTCCTCATGCGTCCGGTACGCTCGCGCTCGCGTACGCTCGCTGCTCAGGAGGGCTCTCAGCAGGGTGCCTTCCTGACCCCGGAGAAGCAGGTCGAGACTCAGAGACGACGCAACCCGAACGACATCGTCCGCGGGGGCCGGTCGTGACATGTGTCGTGCGTGTCGTGCTCCGGGCTTGAAGGGTGTCGAGGGGGTTGTTTGTCATTTTTTGTCCGTCAAGGTTTGGAGTCGATGTTGCGAGGTCAGATGTGTTTTGGATGCTTGGATGTTCTTAAGGGATGCCAGCTTTCTTGAAGTCAACAGGTTCAGAGGCGGTAAGATAGGTAAGACACGTCTAAAAGTTGTATATACTGCAGGTACTTGATGTTTTCACACGATATCACACGTACATATTTTGTTGTGACTAGCATGTTTGAGAATCATGTTTGACCAAAGGCTATAGGACGGTGCGCATTATTTGCACATGGATTAGCTTTCAAACTTGAACCCTCAAGGATTTGTGGAGAACTTGTTCGATGGATTCATGAACATCACACCTTTGAAATTGCTAGGAGCAAGGACGCTACTAGGGGCTCCTGGCCTTACTACTAGGAACAAGGACGCTACTGAACATCACCGGCGCTGCACAGCCGGACGTGGCCGGACTCGTCGCAGGTGAAGTCGGTGGCTCCGACCTACATCCGCGTGAACGACTTCACCGAGGTCCGTAGGGATGTCACCGAGGTCAGTAGGGGGAGCCCGTTGCAACACGACCCAAGTCTGAGATTGAACATAGAGTTCTGACATGTTGATTTACAAGTTCAACCAAGTGTTCACATTTTCATGCAATCCAGCATTTATTCATGCATTCATGCGTTGATGAGCACCTGCGCTTGGCAAATGTTGATATCAGAGCTAAAGTGTTGGAGTATGTTGGAGTTAACTACTCACAGATTTGCATTTTGCGCTTGGACACACTAACTGTTGTTTTTTTTCTCGGTCCGGATCGCATCGCTTCGACCATTTCCAATCGAAGAACAGTTTGGCTCTATTTCCCCATAGCATGCCCTAGCCTACAGGCATGTATATAGCACACAGACATCATGTGACACCCGTTTCGCTTCTCGTTTCGCTTCTCAGGGCTGGCAAGAAGTCATTGACACCTATGGCATTCCCAAGTACCAGGACCGGATCACACGGTCGCACTGCCGCACTGCTTACTGCTTTGCACAGCCTTAGCACTTCCGCACTGTTTGTCACGTGGGGAGAACGTTCTCGCGACAGCATGCGTTGAGCTCTTTTGCACCGCTGTTTGAGCGCACCGCGGTCGTGACTTATACGAGGGTTCAAGTGAACATTGAAGAGATGTGTGTTTACCATGTTGTGGTTCGCTAAGTTGTGTGGTGTGAGCTGAAGCTGAACTACTGAGTGACGCAGGAGGCAAATCCGGCTCTCCTCTCAGTGGTCACCTTCCCCTTCATCTTCGGCATGATGTATGGGGATGTCCCTGGCCTGTGAGGGAGGGATTTTCACGCAAGGACTGCACGGGATCTTGGGGGCTGTTGAGGACGTGGGGATATCGATGTGCGGCTGAATGTTTCGGCTCCAAGGGAACTTGGGTCTCTGAAAGCACCTCAGTGCTTGCTGCTTTCTAAAGATTTCAGAGGTCGATAGAACTCTCCAAGTGATTCATGTGTGGTGTCAATTGTTTGCTTTGGTGTTACGCTCGGTGTCTTGAGTCTTTGTTTTTCTGTGTTTGATCTCAGGAATTTATGAGGATACCAGCGCTTTGAGGTTAGTTGAGGCTGCGCAGAACAATTGTTGACTTTTCGTTATCCAGCTTCGCCTCCCTTTGAAGGTGTTCAGTGGTGGGGTTGCAGGGCAAGCAGCTAGTCTAGTTCCTATACCTTCTTGGGGGTTATGTGATTTCTCCAGTCAAAATGAATTGCTGGTGGAGCTATCGCGCCCTTGCCAGACTGACTGACTTTTCACGAAGAGGTTGCCCTCCAAACCTCAAGGACCTTACTTGCATAGGTCTTCTGAAAGAACCTGATGGGCAAGACTCAGGATCTTTCCTCAAGGGATCAGTGGAAGGGCGGGTCCTGACCTGCCATCCTCCAAACCTTCAGCTTTTTCGCTGCATGACCTGGTGTGAACCTGCCTGACCTGCGTCCCGACCCGATGATCTAGGTGGGCCACGGCACCTTGTTGTTCCTCGCGGGGCTTTGGCTGTGCAAGAACGCCGAATCCTTGCGCTTCAGCCGCCCGGCGAAGCGGCGGACACCGCCCCGTTGGGAAATCCACCTCGGAGTCCACCTCGAAGTCGGCGGCAGAGGACCAATGCTGCGGATCGAATTCAGATCAATTCTAAAACATGCGAAGCATTCGCAGCAAGCCATGGAAAAGAAGCTGGTGCACTATAGTTGTTCATGACAATCCCTGATGATCAGATACCCTAGGGATCCAAGTACCTTCTCGGCAGGTGATTGGAGACACCGCTATGTAGGTTTGGAGGGTCCAAGTACCTTCTGAGAAGGTACGACGGGATCCCTACAGGTTGTTCATGACAATCCCTGATGATCGGAGAAGGTCTCACCATAGCAACTCGCCAGATCGATAGAGAACATCGGCGCCGTGGACATCGGTTTCCTGCCCAAAGCCTCCAGAACTCGGACCTCCCTGGGGAAGAAACATGGCAGTGGGTCAAAACCTGGAGTTCCAAACCGTAGGTGGACCTCCCTAGGGAAGCTGTTCCAAACCTCGCTGGTCATGGTCCCCCCTGTCTTGACCACCACGGAAATGACCGTCCAGCAGCCATTTCCGCCATTTCCGCCCATCCAGGTCAGCCGACACTGTTCATGGTGCGCTACATGGTGGTGAGCCTTGGTGGCTCGGCAGAGGGCGGCTGTCCCACACACACACACACACCACTCAAAACTCCTCTGGATCCAGCCGCTCTCATTCTTGCACCGCATTGCACCAGTAAGAGGAGAGTCTGGGTCGGTGGCAACGTTTAAGCCTCTTTCGTACCGTACCTCGTTTATCCATTTTTTGGCACATAGGTTTTGCTCTTTGGAGGAACGGCAGTGGGAAACTGTTCTGAAGTGCGGTGCCATGGTCTACAAGCCTCAGCAGGAAAGAAAGGACTTTCGGCCAATGATCACCCGGACCCAGACAGAAGAATGTAGACTTTTGATTAATACCACTCCCATTTGAAGAGATTGTTCCATCCAAATTAATGAAGGAAGTTTATCAATCAAGGTCCATAATGGTGTTGACCTATGTTGGCCCCTTTAGGTATAAGAGTGTTTGGGTTAAACTCGTCGGTTAAACATTGCCCTCACCCTGCGAGTGGTGCGATTTGGACTTCCCGTGGACCAGGGAGGAGGATTCAATCAATATAGTTGCAGGAGAAGGGCACCCTTTAAAAACAAAGACACCTTTAGCAGCTCAACCTTTTTGCTCAAAGTTCTATAAGCAATGTTTAAGGAACAAGTCTTTTGCCACCAATCTCACCGGACCAACTCTCAGCTTGGTACTGTATTTGATATGACTTATCTTCACCAAGACTCTACCGGTGCTGGTCTTGGCCTTGGCCGAAGAAGAGGTTTCTTTGCCACCTATGCGGGCCTCATGTACAACGACTTCTTTTCGGTGGGTCTTCAGATCTTCGATTCCCGCTGGAAGGACGCGAAACGGAGCGTGTCACTGCAGTAGAGAACCGGTGCCGGAACGGGTTTCTTTCTGCGTGGTTGTTGGGGGACGGCATAGAATGAGGGAGGCTGAATTTTGGGCCACCTTCGCGTGAAGTCGGCTGCTCGAATAGAACTGGTGTTACCATAGGCCAGTAACTGATGGACTGAACGTGAGCGTTCAGGAGTAGTTTCCGCCCAAGCGGTTTACCCGCTTTTTGAGCAGAATGGACCAGTGGCAAGGTATCTTGAAGTCAATGAAACTGACATGCGGATCAAGCAAGAGGAACTGGCAATTTAAACCTCCATATAGATCCTATAACTGAATTGCGTAAAACCGGGGTCCCATGGAAAAGCAGCATATCCTTCCGACCGCGTTTGCCACTGTCACTTGGTCATAACACACGCAGTTACAAGCTTAGCTCTAGATACTGGAGCTTCAATGAAAGGAACATCATGCAGCAGGTTGAATACTTTGTTTTGGCATGTGCTTGATGCCAGAAATCTGGTTTTGCACTGCATCTGGGATCAAATTGGTTATCACATGTCGCCTCATACCCGGGACCGAGTCAACATAGACAACAGCACTGAAGAAAGCATGCCTTCGTTGTCACTCCCTTAGCCTTCCAAGACGATTAAAAGACAGGTTGACCTGGTGTAGTAGTGTAAATGAATGTAGATACCTTAGAGTAACAATGGTTCAGAACAGGATCCAGGCGCATAAATCCATTGTTGCGCCAGGAGGTGGGTGAAGGCATCTACGAGCCGGACTACGATGCGCCCGGGCGACAAGCGCGTGTCTTGTGCTTCGTGGGAGTTCACAGCTGTGTGGTCCATCAGGCTAGCCATTCGTCACGTGACATCCACCGTCTTCGCTTCATGCTGTCGCGCTCAGCTGGCTCAGCTGGTGGAGGATGGATCGGGAGGTTGTGAGGCGCAAAGACCCTCCCAGACAAGGCCCCACAGCTTCTTCACTTCGCATGGCCCTGGCAGGGCCGAATTCTGACTGCATGACGTTCACAGATCGGACCAATCATTCGCACCAACTTCCAACCGGTGCCTTCGGTGTGATCCATGTTTGATTGCTGTGTTCTTTTTTTGGGGGGATGGGTGAGATTCACCAGCCTCTCGCGAGCTTAAGCTCTTGCTCGCTCGTGCCCCAGCTCGCTCGGCCAAAGCTGAGGTGAAAAACTCCGGTGGTCGTGGGCCTTACCCCTTTGGACTCGACTGGGCCTGGCATGGACCGCCAAGGGGCACTGCTCGAAATCGCGAGAGGGAGAAACAACCTGGAGCCCAAGACCGAATCCATTTGGACCTTTATTTTGATAGGACCATTTTTTTTGGGTGGTTGGTGGTCCAAAAAGGAGGTCACTCAGTCAGGTTCTATGTATAATGCATTTATATGCATTTATAGAATTTTATAGATATATAGGTGGTTCTTCAAGTCGGGTAGAGGGGCGAAGCTTCATCTCATCTCCAGCGGCCGCTTCAAGCCAAGCAACACTGACTTGAAGCCAAGCGAATCCATACCCAGTCAGTGGGTACCGGGTAGCCTTTAACCGTTTTGGGAGTGGAAGCACTCCACAAAACAAAAGCAGGTGGAAAAAGCCTGGAAAAGGGTCAACGGCTTTTTTCCACTGCAACAAGCTCCTCTACGTCAGTGGCAGTTCTGATCCTGCCAGCTGGTTGGGCCGGCAGGATCCAGTAACGAGCTCCTCTACGTGAACTCTCTGAAGATGAAGCTCTCGGTGCTCTTCGGAGTGCTCCAGCCACTGGGCGCCTCGAGGGCTCGAGAAGTTGGGTGAGAGACTGGCAGCGGCACCGGTCTAGGCGAAGCAAAAGGTGGATGAGATCATGTGGAAATGCTGGCAGGTCTGACTCAGAACATGTTGAGAACCATGAACATCTAAAAGAACTGGGCGGGTGGCAGCACGCCAGGGGTAAGCCTGCGTTTCACCAGCCAGGTGAGAAGAACCAACACAGGTCCAAGGTTTTAGGCCTACGACGTCCTTTCTCTGAGGAAATCGCAGGACTTTGAAGCCTTCAGGACTTCGAAGAAAGGAAAGTATAGGAGAGAACACCCAGCAACACTCCGTTGGTCCCTCGAACCTGGAGGTTGATGCTGAAAAAGATCCCAACCCCCCCCATCATCCCGCATCCAAAGACAGATTTGGGTACCTGAACCTCAAAGAATCAGCGAAAATCCCATCTGTTGATTGACTGGTTTGCACGCCCATGGCCCAGGATGACTGTGGGCTTGTTCTTGAGGCGAGGGCTGGATGGAGTGGGAGGAGTGGGAGGAGTGGGAGGAAGGGCTGCATGCGGCTGCGCATTGGAAAGCTCGGTTTTCTCCGACTTCCCAAGGGGGGAGACGGCAAGGAGATGCACTGCAAGGGTTCTATGTTACTATGAGAATCAAGGCGTACCGTATCTACTGCACATCTACTGAGAGAATCCAACATACTGAGGACATCCAATCTGAAAGGGTGTTAATTGCATTTAAATACTATATACAGTTCTTGGGGCTTCCAAGGATTGGCAACTCTCACTACCGATCGAACCTGCATGGAGCTGCACATCTACTTACCACACCCGGGTCTACTAGATGGAGTTGTTGTGAAATGCTCTTCATGGGCACCCACTTTTTCTCCTATGGGCCTATGAATGTATCGCGATGCCTTGATCAGCTCCATATGGGCTTCATATGGGCGTGTTTGTTGATAGGGAGACATCCTTTCTCGCCCCTGGCTGGGTAGACTGGTCTGTCCGAACCTTTCGGGGTGTCTTCATATGGTACGCCTCACCCAGTGACACACCCAGATGGCTTCATGGACTTGCCCATATGGACCTCACACAGTTCCACCGGGGTAGCTGATCCCATTCTGTCCCATCTAGGTGGGGAAACGCCTTCTATGAGAAGAACATGACGGATTTCATTTGTGTGTCCTGGATTGGCGCATTTTGCATGTTTTGTCATGTGGCTTTTTCCTTTTGCTTTCTGTATTGTCTTGGTGGATTGTTGAGCCATTTTACTGATTTGTGACTGCCAACCTATCAGAGAGAATATCGCATCCCTAAACTTTGCACGTCTGCTGAGAGCGATTTCATCCATGTGACGCCTTGAGCCATCGGAGCTTTTCGTTACGAAGACCAGCATCTCTCGTCTTCAGCCGACGGCGGAACGATCCGTGCAGAAGATCCGCAGGATCCGCAGAGACTGGCCGATGTGGTCGTCCGGCCGGGGACGAGTCCGGTGAGAGACCGCCGAGCAACGGCCAACGGCGCCCTAGGAGTGCATCCCGATGATGATCTTCATGCCAGGCCCTGAGGAGAGTGCGGCTGAAGAAAGGCTGAAGGAATGGTGAGGTGTAGGGCAAAGGTGTAGCATGTTTAGCTCAGAAGCACCTATAGGAGCTAACGGCTTCCATGAGTTTGTGGCAAAGACATCTTCCAGTTTAAGAAGGCAAAGAGCAATGACCTGACAAGCCGCATTCTGGAAGATGGTGTTTCTCGCATTTACCTGTTATTTTGTGATGCTGTAGTTGTTTAGAGCTACTCTCCAGAACTTACGAGGAACTAGTTTTCCACATAAATTCATCGTTGTTTTTTTGCTGGAGCGTTTGCATGTCATTCCTTGTTAGCTCCCAACCTATGAAAATGCAGGCAACCCTGGCTTACATGGAAGTGTATCTTCTCTCCCCTCGCCTGGTCATTCTCCAGGGACCCGCAGGGATGCAGGGGAAAGTTAGCTTCCTCGTTAATGCATATAGTTGTTCAGTCTTTCTTGTTTGCTGATTGGGCTTAGCTGCCTGTGGTCTACTATTCCCGGGAATTTACATGGTCAGCAACTTCCTAGTAAATGACGTCCTGGCCCAGATTTACTTCCTCGTAAGTTCTTGGGAGCGTAATATTTTTCTATAACTATACTTGACAAACCAGAAATTCTTCAGAAACAGGCCATGGAGGAGAGGGAACAAGTATATGCTTCGTGTTCAAACCCAGTTCAGAGCCCAGTGAATCTACACCAAAAACTCCCTTTGCCAACAATTCTGGGCATTTTCCACCCTCGATTCTACGACCTCGCAAGATCTGTCTTCCTAGACCCAGGCTGTGCTTCTTTGGCTGGATGGACGTGATGATCCTCTACAAGTGACCTGCCACCAAGACCGTTACGCAGCGAGCCCGCTGACGCACCGTTTTTCGTGCGGCGTTGGTCATCCACAACAGCAGGAGACTGTTTAACACAGAGGTGTGCGGTTCATGGGGTTTATGTGGTTTGAATTGCTTTCGCTCCTTGCTGGTCATTCTTTTTGGTTCACACTCTGGCGGTGCGGTGCGTTCTGAGCCTGTATACAACGGCGGACTTTCTTGCAACGTATGGGCCTGCGTCAGGGAAGACCTTGTTGTCTTTACATAGATGCATGACTCCATCACCCAGATATATTATTGGAGTATTGCTTTGTTACCCATGTTGCCAGGAACCAGCACCACCCTGTCAGGATGGTTGATGGAGGCCTAATTAATCCCAGAAAGGGTGATCTCTCAAACAATTCTTGGGGTAGTGCTTAGTGCCAGCGCCGGTGGTGTATCGTGTTGATATGTACTTGTTTCTTGTGGATCCGCCACAGATGAGTGACTGGTCGTATATAAATTCACATAACATTCACACCCACCGACCCTCTCCGCAACCCCCTGGCAGAGCCCTCGGCAGGTGGGTTCATCCCATTGACAACCCTCCGAGCATCATCAACTCGCTGATTTGATGCTCAGCTGGAGGAAAGTGGATATCAGGATGGCCTTCCAAGGAAACAGCTTTCCTTTGATTTTAATTACAGCATGTTCTCCATACTTAACAATATGTGTTGTGTTTTTCTCAGCGGTGCTGGGGGTGTCATTGTTCTCATCCACACCTATTAAGGTCAATGCCGCTATGGGCCATGTGTGACCGAATGCCGCTATTCATCCAGAACCGCCAACCCCCTCGAGGATCCGTGTCCCCCTCGAGGATCCGTGTTTTTACGCTTTTTCGCCCATTTTTCCGGAGGGCCGAGGGCAGTGTTTTCTCAGAGAGAAAGACCTACCAATGCTTCGTTCGTGACGGGTCAGGTCCCAAGGCAGCATTGGACTCCTGGAATCCCAAGGCTGAATTGACCTGGATTGACAGGGGGGTCGATTCTTTTCGCTACACACCGTGGAAGGACCCCGTTTTCGCCACTGGTCGTGATCAGATCCCGTTGTGATTGAAAAATGGTTCTTTCTGGGATGTGCGCCCGTAGGAGCTCAGAAACACTGGCATAGAATGTCATAAAATCAAGTCACATAAAGGACTCCTCGACCTGGTGGATAGATAGATGATAGATCTATAATCTAGAAACGGCTTGCCAATTCCACGGCTGGTGATCAGAAGGTCTGCCCAAATCGCCATGTTTCCTCGCTTTCATTTCTGAGGCATGGCGATGGGGCAACAGGATTTGTTCCCTCTTTGGGATGGTTCCGTCGAGATGGCCCAGAACCTCATGCTGCCACTCGGCGAGAACCTGGCCGCGCTCGGCCGATGGCCACGAGGAGCGATGTTGCGATGCAAGATGCAACAGCGATCTCAAGTCCAGACACTCCATCGGACTGGAATATATATATATATATATGTATGTATATACATATTATATATATATAACTAATTACACCATACTAACCCATACTGCACATATATATAATTACATAGGGTGCAGCCCAGTAAACCAGTACCACTCCCGTAGCAGTCGGAAAAAGATTTATTGCCATTCTTGAGAAAGGCCTGCAACTGAACCATCATCATGTACTGGGCCCTGCAGAATGGGAGATACCCAATCTATACATTGGAGTGGTCAACGAAGTGTTTGGGAGGACAAGTCGAATCTAAGGCTTTTTGGCCCAGAAGTGGACTGAGGCTGTAGAGGCTTTTTAAACAGTGTAGGGTTAGCAAGAAGCGGTGAAACGCATGTTTTAAGGCCAGGCCGGGAGATGGGTTGTGCCTCAGGATGAGTGGAGAGAAACCATTCCAGTCATGAAATTCTTGCTTGGTTCCAGTGCATCAAAGCTGGTAAAACTGCGGGTGATTTCTTGGAGCATGGTGGAATCAGAAACTCTGCAGACTGGTTGGCTTTGGTTGGCTGCATGTGTTTCTAGACTTTCGTAGACCCGAGATGGGCAGATCCCATCTTCTACTACGACGTAGTCCAGGTTCAGTGCATCTATACTATTGAAGTTGGTTTCGTATCGGGTGGCTTCCTTTTTACTGTAGGTGTCGGTCAATCAACCATGACTGCTTTTGTGGTATGGCGGCCAATGTTGCTTGAAACGCAGCCCACGCAAAAAAAGAACGGCAAGCCGACATGTGTTTGTTGCGTGTGCAGAGTGTGAACCCATTGCAGGATTCTTCCAACAAAACTTGGGCCACCAAGTAGATGGACGATGGATGGAGTGGGTTCTCCAATATTTGGGTTTGATAGATATGGGCTGGTATCCTATCAACCACTGGTCTCTGGGCTGGTGTCCTATCAACCACTGGTCTCTCCTATCAACCTTTCCCGAACTCGGCCGCTCTAAGACTCCAGTCGCTTTCGATGACGAGGGGGTGGCCACAGGGCACTGAGAGTCACCGAGGTTCACCATGTGTTCAGTGCCTCTCCCAGTGGGGGGGATTCTTTGGTCGAGTGGAAGGGGTCAGATGGGAGGAGCGGCGCAACGGAATCTGTAGAATTATCTCATTATTTGTCTCCCAAAGGCTAGGGTTTTGACCCTCATAGCTAGGGTTTTGACCCTCACAGCCAGAGTTTTGGACCGAACCAACATGTAGCAGTTTCATTGCAGTGATCTATATATATATACATATCCCATACGGTTTAGTATATTTTGATATATACATCTAGAATCTGAACACCCGTTCTGAAATAGAGTAAGATGGACAAGCATATGTAGATTCTGTGGATTCATAATTTGGTCTTGCTCACGGAGTAAGAGGTGCATGGGAGTAGGTGGCGTAGCTTCATCCAACCGGTGCCTTTGTATCCTTCGACATGAGACCCAGGCGTCTACCGTGCTCCAATCCAGTTAGAATGTCTTGCTTGGATATATAGGTGGGATAGATTTTGAGGATCCCATCTCATCTTAAGTGGATCTCATTGCCTTGCCTCCTGATGTGTTTCTTTTTCGCCCAATCAGTGGGGACTGGCCATCCTGTCCTTCCCGGTGACCGAAGCTTTTGTCGATTGAAGAACTGTCCAAAAAAATCCCTCGAAGAGAAATGTCCCTCTCAGATGCTGCCAAGAGCTTCCAAAAAGAGCTGAACTTTTAGGATTGGCGCCATTGGTCCTCCCGGATGGATAAAGTTCTGGAAGAGACCCAGATGGAACCCGAAGACCCAGATGGAGACGCTTGTAGTCCCTTTTCAGGTTCCATGTTATTTTTCCCAGATGGGTATAGGATGGATGGAGGAGCGTGAGGGAGGACAGGTCACCATGTGGACTTCGCATCGGTGGCATGGCCCAAGGTACATGTTTGGTGACAAATCCTTGACCAAGAGGGTCTCCAAACATCCTTGAAGTTATGAAAAAACAGGATATGTCACCATGTTTGGTGACAAGTCCTTGGTCTCCAAGAGTTTCTACCAACAATTGTGGTTGAACGTGGTTCATTTGTTTACGTTGTTTAGCTAGAGGGGGCATGACCATGCTCAGGCCAAGTGCGCCCTCCAACACGACCATGCAGCAGAGAACTGCTTCATCTCCCCCTTGCTTTCGCACCCATGTGTCACCTGGAAGGCACCAGGCAGCATGCTTGGAAGGCACCAGGCATCACTGTGCGACCACGAAGCACCGGTCCCCGTTCCAGCGACCGTTCCTGCGTTCCAGGTGCCGATCATGCTTTTTCCCAAGCCCTTTATCCTGCTCTACCAGCACAACCAGACGAAGAAGGTCGAGACCAATGTGCGAGCACTGTGGCGAGTGGCGGCGTTTTTCGTGTTGCATGCAGCAAGAAGCAGACGAATGGGACTGGAATAGTTACATGTACCCCATGAAAAGGACCCCAATGTAGGGAACTATTCTCTACCTGGATGATCTGGGAATGGTTGATCTGTTTTTGCTCTCACGGCCTGGCGTGGACGATATCTTCCATCCTGTCTCCAGGTGTGATGTTATATGATTTTGTGATTCTCACCAACTCCAAAAGCCAAAAAACATCTGGATTTTTTTCAGCATCTTTCATTTTGAGCCTTGGTGAATGTGGATTTTCCCGAATGCAGTGCTTAGTGCTTCGTGCGCCCTGCACAGGCGCGCGATGGGAATTTTGTGGCGATCGAGGAGGAGCCATCGAACAACCACCACGGGCATCTTGGCTTAGCTCAGATAGCTGCCAGGTGGTGGTGAACACTGATAAATTAAGCCAAGTACTAAGCACTAAGCTGGAGCCAGGAAGGATTGGACACCATCTTGATACAAGTGACTGACTTAGAGCTTTTGGCCAAGATCAGCACTATGACCCACTGGAGGTTCCCATAGAACCCAAACATGTATAGAATGTTTAAGAACTTCATGACATCCACGGTGCTTTGCACCTGCATTGTCTTTGGGACCAGCAGGGGCTTCCCCGGCGTTCCGGAGAGTTTCAGAGTTTCGGAAGGAGTAGTGGGTATATGTGCACGTGGGTATAGTTCTTGAAGGGCAGGGGGGGTATGGATAGTCCCCAAAGAGATAGAAAAGTAGACCCCCACTGATCCCCACTGATGTATTTGAAACCGTGCCACTATCTATTTGGAGATCACAGTAGATACCGACTGGTGCTCCTTTGCTCACACTCCCCCGAAGGGACCGCATGAAAGTGGACGGTAGACGGATGAGCATTTTCCTCCACAGGGCCCAGGGGATTTTGCAACGTTCCTCAACTGAGATAGGCCTTTGGTATGCATGGGTTCATTGCCTGATGAATTGGTCGCTGGTGTGAATCCTCGGAAACAGCAGAAGGACAGCCTGTGGATGCTAGCAGCCCTTTCACCACACAACTGGGGACTCTGGAACAGTGTGTGAACCACTCTGAGTGGCCGTCACTCGGTGAACGACATGTGTTTCCTACAACGAGGCTTCGAGGATGAATCGAAGAAACGCCGTCAACACCTCCCCAAACGGTTGCAGACTTGCCCTGGGTCTTAGATTCCTCAACAGTCAGAACAACATGGAGCCTTGGGTGGGCACCGGGGCTCCGTCAGCCCAACCAATACCACCGGCTCACCGCTCACTCTTCCACCCGCCATCTCGGCTCGGTAGCGAACCACCAGAGATGCTCGGCGGGAGCGCGACGGACCCCAAGAACGCAGCAGTTCCTCAGCGAACGGATCCCATGGCAGTGCTGGAGCAGGGCTGGACGCCTGGCGGTGGCGGTTCGTTTTGGAACGACCCGATCTGCGGGGCGGTGGGTGCAGGGTGGGCTGCGAGGTCTCTTGTGTGGATGTTGTTTTCTCATGGCGGTGGGCATGTTGGGATGATTCTACAGCGGTGGTTTGCAGGTTTGCTTTGACTTGGCGTGGTTTCAGGGTGTTTCTTGGAAACAGGAGTGATGTGACCTTGGGGTGGGACAGTCGAAAAATAACGTACCCGCCTTCGACTTACTAAGATGGAAGTCAAACAACAACAACAACAACAACAACAACAACAACAGCAGCAACAAACCGACTTAAGATAGAAGGTCATCGTGTTCCAAAGGGCCATTGCCCGCTTTCATGTTGAGTCGGAGTGTATGTGTTGGCATCAACGACCGGTCCGAATCGCCCTTCGAGTACCTGCTGTGCCAGCAACGTGTTGGGAAGTCCTTTTGTTTCGCCCCAGGTGCATGGAATCTACATAAATCTACCAAATAATAGGCAAGATCTTGTGAGAACCTCTTTGTTTCACTCAGATTACCACTTCCAACACGTGCCATCCCCGCAGCGTGCCGCCCGTCACGTGCCATCACGTGCCTCCAGCAGTGCCAACCGCTCTGAAGGAGCGGTGACTCTTAGGAACTCCTCGAAGCTTAGCTCCAAAGCATCTTCCAGGAGACGTCACCGAGCGCTTCATGAGACTCGGGGTGAGCGCCGCGTGGATCTTCGGAAGAAGTTGGCACCGGAGTTCGTGCCACTGTGTAATGACAAGATGGTGGCACAGGGTGACATGAGTTTCCACATATGTTCATTACATGTCCATGTTCCAAGTACCTATGCTTTCGCGGCCGGACCACCTCTGTTTTTGAAGATCGATGAATCATCACCAGGACCGGCCGCACCCATGGTTTTTGAAGATCGATGAATCAAGTGCCAAAACTGGCCAAATCAAATGGGACAGTTTTCAAACCAGTGGCAGCCCTCACGAAAGCCTGTGGCGGCCCTAGACTGCCTTCACTGCCATATCTTGCCACTTTCCAGGCAAGTGGGACTGGAGTAACGTATGCACTTATATATACCTAGAACCTGAATGACCTCTATTTTGGACCACCAACCACTCAAGATATGGCCTTTTCCTATCAAAACAGAGGTCAGTTGGGTTCCAGGTATATATATATATATATATCCCAGACACGACCCATGGGACTGCCAGTCCGGACTGCCGATCAGGCCAGGGGTGGTTGACTGGGGGTCTTTCTGGGGCGGCAGTCCTATGGCAGTCCCATGGAGTGTCTGGGATATATATATAATTGCTGACCCGCACCGGGTGGTTGAAAAAGGGGTCAATGGCGAAGGCAAGAGTTCACTCCGCCCAGCCCCAACTTAGGTCTTCAACAGATGGTTCTTAAAGACGGGTGTTCATCGATCATTTCCTGGGATCTACCAGCTGCCACGTGGTTGCCACAGAGTATTTTGGAAGAAGGTGAGCTTTGCAGCCCTCCACGTCTTCCAAGAGCATGTTCACATGCAATTAGTTGGTCTATAGGTGTATATGTCATCCATTTTGGTCAACTCATGGCGGTAGATGCCAAATGCCAACGAGACGAGATCCGCAGGCAGTGGCTGAAACCACCAGGGTTTGACCCAAGGAATGACTGGACCAGTGTCACGTTTTTCCCAGTCCTCAACTGCAAAGAAAGAAGATTGTTGGGTGGCTGTATCAGTTCTCCATAGTTCTCCTGTGCCCACTTCAAAGTGATCTTTCAATACGTTTAGAAAGTCTTTGTAGAAGTGACATTCCAAGAACCCACATTTAAAATCGTCACTTCTTGGGGAAAAAAAAACACCAAACCACAACTCCACCATGCTTTCCAGTCACTGGATGGGACTGCGGCGAGCGCAGGATCTTGGGGAAAGTCCTGGCCGAGCTCAACGCCTCCCCCAACACCCTGGCGCAACGCGAGACCTTCCCGGACCGGTGCACGTTTCGTGAAGGACTCTGGACATCTCTGGAGCTCGGTACAGAAGCCCTCCCCAGTTGGATTGAAGAACCTCCTTTGTATAGGGTGCTTATCCATCAAGAGTCGACATTAGTGGGTGGACTCCTTTTCAGTTCGGATGGTGAGGATGAGGATGAGGCGAACGCGGAAGGGTTTTCGGAGGTGCCAGTTATAACTAGATCAGATGGCTTTGATGATGGCCAATGATAGGGCTGCAACATGTCCAGAATTGATAATATATGATAATGTCCATATCCAAAATATAAATGTACGTATGTAACAATGTACCGGTGGTAATAAAATGGGCAGGTTTCAAGAAATGTGTTTCTACCTATTGCTCAGGAGGGGGCACTTTGGAGCGGGGGGGCCTCCATCTTCCCCATTTCGACTTCATCGGTACAGGTCTTCTGACGTACATGTATATATATATATTATACATATACGCACAAGATGCAATGGACCTTGCAAAAGCTATTGCCCTACAACCGGTTTTCAGGTTCCATGTGAATCTTCCAGGGAAGCTACGCTTGATTCAAATTGGACACCTGTGGAAAACACCCTAATACAGTACTTGTAGGTGATGAAGCATTTGTTGGAGGTGATGAACCGCCACCAAGTGTGGATGAAGGGCTTCGCAGCTGTGTGAGCCGTTATTCAGCTAGGCGGCGCCGTCAAGAACAGGAAACCCAAATCCAACCGTCCACACTTCTGAAGCTGCCGGTCTCATGGAGATGGGTCGCTCCTTCCGATGGGAGCCGCTCCTGGTCCGATACGCCAAGTAGGTCAATGAGTCGGTCGGTCGCGCCGCCCTGGAAGCAGGGGTGATGCAGAGGTCAGACGACCAGGATGCCAGGCATGGTTGATAGAACCATCTAAAATCAGCCATCCTGGCCGCCCTGGTACGTGGTGAAGGCCAATTCAGCCATTGACCATGACCATTCTAAAAGCGCTGCAGGGCGCTTTCCGACGCTCCGTTTGGTGCCGACTGCTGCGAGGACTTCAGCGATGAGTGGGAGCCCATGAACGATGATGAGGAGCTCCCAGTGACCTGGTAGTCGACAAGTCTAGACATGGATGCCAAGTGGGTCGCTTGACGCCACCCAAGATTCCCAAAGATCACGCCAACATACGCCACCCAACCTTAAAATAGTTATGTACCAGCACCCTCCAACAGGTGGTTTTTGGACACGTCCTTTACCTCCAAGAGGTTATTTATAGGCCCATAGGCACCTCTTGGATGTATATATATATATATATACTAGACCAACCACACCAAATAACCCACCGAGAGAGACCCTTTTTGGTTGCACATTGGATGTCCATCAAGTCTCCATAAATATAGTATAAAAATATATTATAATGTTATCCTCAGGGCCACTGATTTATTAGATGAACCGATTAGACATATAGATTGGGTCTGTCCTATTACTTGTATCAGTCAGCAAACAGTTCTCATCATAATTCTAACAAGGCCTTTACTAAGTTTACCAACCATCATCATCCACTGGGCCCAGGTCATAGACAATTGGTGGCTCCCTGGTTCCAATGGTCCAAGTGCTTTCGATGGTTAACGATGCTGACCGATGGAGTTTGGATAGCTGATGGTTCGTGCACCTGTGCGTGGTGCACCTGTGCAACGATGCCGGGCCAGGAAAGACTATGACACCTCCATACACTTTGCCTTTGGAACATTTACTGTAGCAGTAGTTCATCAAGAACCTGGTTCTTCAAAGTGACCTTTTAATAACCTGGTTTGAGGTCACTTAAGCCTCCTAAGGGTCACTTGGGAACCTTCAAAAGGTCACTTTGAAGAAGCTGGAATGTTATTTTTAGAGGTCCGCTGTCGCGTAGGTCCCGACTGCCCTGCACATCCCCACCCGTGGAATTGGAAGGGGGATCGGGGATGATGGAACGCTGACTATGGGAGGGAAGAGTCCGGGCTTCTGTGCGTCCAACCTCCAGAGAATCTGTGCA